GTTACAACCACAAAGGATAGCTCAAAGTGCCCCAACATCAAATTTAAATACACCTAAATCGAGCCATGCTTGCAGAATCATTTCTCTTTTCTTTCACCCGCATGCCACACGTACCGCCTTCAACTTCGATCTTTCAACAACCTCCATTTGACCCTTGTTTTTCTATCCTCCCTCTCCATGACTTCGGCTAGGACTCAATCACATCCACCGAAGACTATCCCTAATTCAATGCTGCTTTGCCAATTCATCCTCTTCACCATTATTCGACCACACCCCGCCAAGGGTATCATCACCCTCCCCGGCCTCAAGATTATCTTCATCCGTGCAATCCTCATCACACGTAAAATGGAAAGGTCCTGGCACCATCCGCCTGAGCTCAATCAATCCCATGCTCGCCATGACTTCATCCAGCCTTTTGTCTCTTTCTTCAGGTGTTTCATCGTCATCTTCATCGTCATCTTCCACCCCCGTCTGCTCCCCTTGTTCGTTTTGGGAAACCGCCTCACCATCCATTCTCTCTTCCCTGCAACCGCCCACTCCCTTCCAGCCCTCAATCCATCTCTCCCTACCCATCTCATGGGCCATTGCCCACCCCTGTCCCTGCCAAATAGATCTCATTAACCCTCCGTTCTTTGTTGCCTTCTGGCCCAGCCGTGCCGGAGTCATCTTCTCCGGCAAACCCAGAACCGGCGGCACTCCAGCCCTATTGTGGACCGCCAATGACGCAGTTGACATGTGATTGGCTAGACTATTCTTTTCAACCACCGCCGACGAGGCTTGATCTGTGTAAGACCCACGAATTGTGTCGGTTTCTACGTTGGGTGAAGAAGGGGGACTCATAGGGTGGGAGTTAATAGTGTTTCTGAAATGGTAAAGGTTTTGTGTATTTTCGATAGACTGCCGCTATTGTGAGCATGGTTATCAATTCAACGATCACGGGAATGAGAGTGGAGAACATACTGTATTATTCTCTCCTGGGCGTTCTTTGTTCCATACAGCGTGGTTTGAGTGTTGTGACACATTATCTGCGTCTGCTTCTTGATCCCTAACAACTTCTTTGCCCTTGCGCTTCCTGTTGTTATCCGGAATAACCGGATCTTCATCCTGATCGGCCTCGCTTGCGGGGTCTTCCATTGCGAAATTGCTCAAATAATCAGTAATGTCATGCACACTTGAGCCAGGAGTATCAACCATTGTTTCTGAAGTTTGCTGATGCATTTGCCTTCCCATGTCCCCATCCGATGCCAGATCTCTCGGTCCCTGAATTGAGTCGCCCTCTGCGGTTTCCACTACTGACCATGGGATAAACGTTGGCGGTTGTGGAGCTAGTAGGGGGATAATACCATACCCAAGGCTTACCGGAGATATTCCTATGGCTATGATTGGGTACAGATATGAGTCCATCATTGTGGGGAATGTAAGGATGTTGGTGCCCAAGCTGATGCTAGTATTTTGGCCCCTCGTAGTTGTAATTGACCGACCACTTGAGTTAGCTGGGGTAGAAACGGTTGAGGAAGTCAATGATGGCATAAATTCCGGTGCTGCAGGATTAAACCTAAATGATCTTCTTCCAACTTGATTACTTGGGCCAGAGAGTGATGGCCATAGTGAGTCACGGTACTGTAAAGCACGTGCTGTCTGCACATAGGATGAAGCTGTTTCTTGCCTGACGGAAGGAGTTGCTGAGGTAACTTCGTCATTTATTCTACCGATGGCCCTCGTAGAAGCAGGGGTGACGATACGGTTACCGCTGTCGGCATCCTTCCTTGTTTCACCACGGCTCTCCCCAAGCTCTTGTCCCACTCCAAGGACTCGCTCATCAGCTCCTAGGCCCGTAGTGGCCACACCTTCAGCTTGGGCAGCAGTAGCTCCAGCGTCTGCGGGCTCTTGACCAGGACAGGTACTACGCTCAGTGATGTTCAGTGACATTCTCGTGAATGTAGGGTATCAAAACTTGTAGTAAATTAGTAATCGAGTGGAGATGGAGGTCTCGGTATGGTGTGTGTAGTGTTTGAGAGATGGTTCGTGGTGGAAGTTGCCGTAAGGGGCTTATTTGTTATGGTTCCGTGAGTGAGTAAAGAGGAGGATGGAATGACAGCTTTTTTCTCATCATGCGGCAGGCACCGGCCACACTTAAGCTTAAGCGGAGAACCCACGGCATCTTCTAGATCCATTGGAGCGGGGCTCAAATTGCCAGTATAGGCCCATACAGTCGTAGACCGGTACCGCCAGACTAGGTTATACAACGGAATAATTGCATCCAAGTAATATCTCAGCATCTCTGTCACTACTCAGCGTTAGGACATGTACACTCGAACATCTCATATAACCTACTTATAGTTGATATACCGCTCCTGCATTTCCCACTTTGACATTCTGGCATCTTGAGCCATCTTGAACCTATTTCGTCTCCGCAATGTCGTTACCTAAATAACAGCATTCCAATTCAGAGCTGAGGGCGAATTCAAACAGGGGATAAACGGAATGATCATTGGGGAGTCAGTAGTCTGGGCCGCTATTGGAATATATTAGACGTTCTGCGAGAGCGTAGTCTGGTCTCGCGCTCACGTGGAAACCACAAATCAGGCAACCGGAACCGGCCGGGGCCGGACTGGATCACATCTGCGAACGCAAATTTTCATATCGCACCAGCAGATAACTTGCCTTTCCTGAATCCACCGGGGTTCCGGGAGGCTCCTCATTGTCCCCTTACTGGGACCGGATAGGAGTAATGAGTTTTCAAGGGGGGGGAATCATATCGCACCGGAATAATTACATATTCTTTCGACAATAAAATCTGACAGGTCCAAGGACATATATGGCATTCTTTTCCTTATCCCTAGACACGCAATGCAAATCGTCTCCTACCAGAACCCACTTCTTGCGATATTCCCAGTATGAATTTCTGAGGGGTTACAAAGGGCTCGAAGGATTGTAATCCGAAACAACCTTGAATTACGGATGTTGTCCATATATACCCCGAGACACAGAATATTGTCCAATTTAATCTTCCGTGGACAGTTGGGCAAGCTGTTTCCTTGTTTGGTTGGTCTGTTCTGTCTTCTTTTGTCTTTTGGTAAATCATTACTCATATCGAACCACTTCCATGCTTATATTTTCAATGGAGTGATAACTACTCCGTACTATATCTGCATTGTCGAAGTAGGGACTTGATCATAGCGAAATGTACTTCTTTCACCAACTGTCCGACAGGGGGTAAAAAGCGACGTCTGATACAGCTTCCACTTCGTTCTGCATATTCTTATCCCTAGGTGCATCTGGAGAGTTCTTCCTCTAATAAACTTCCGGAGTATACAACACTAGGTTCTCTGCGGTGACGAATTTGGCGGCAAAAGATGAGACTCACCAAGCGGGAGGGGATTAGAACAGAATGATGGAGGTCTGCGAGCAAGTCTGGTCAGCATAAAATGGGAGTGAATCGAAATAGCGCAAAATACAGCTGAAAGTCAAGAAGACACAGACAAATCGTTAACTCTCTCAGACCGATGAAGATACCACAGCAAGAAAATTTTGGTTAGGTATGAGCATACTAAACATATTAATTCCGGCTTGGGCACCTTGTCGGATGGTTATTACATAGTTCCAGAGAGTGAGAGGGGTGCCGGGAGATAAAAATGAGGAAACGGTGTAGGATCACTTAAATACTATTAAATATCAATATAGAATGAAGTTCAGGACTATGCATTGAGGCTTGAGATTGTTCACGAGAATATATTCGCGCAAGTTATTCTCTTTTGCGTAGTGAGATGCGAATAATGGCTGGAGAATTCCCGTATGAGAGACTGTACGAAAGTCCGAATTAAGCGGAGCAAACCACTGAGGTCACAGAAGTGGACTTTGGAATCCTACGGCTGAAGTTTAAGTATAATATAAACCAGTGCCATTAGTCTTGGTTTTTACCCCAGAGCATGCCCAACTATCGAAAAGCTATCAACACCATGAATAAGCTCTACCCGGAGCTCTAACATCTGATTTTTATCCAGGGGCTCGAAGCTTGTGCTCGTTAAACGCACTGTATTTCGAAAATGCCTTCCGTGCAAAATTCAGAAGCTTGAAGAGTGGTTGCAGAATACCTTTCCTATACAAATGTGTATGACAGCACCATGGTTCTGGTCCGCAATAGACCAGTACATTACGGCATTGAAACTTTCCCTAAAAATGTCATCCACTGCAACACAGCAATATACTGTTCAACGCAACAGACTCTGCAAACAGCGACATTACCGCTGTTACCATAATGCCAGTTGCAGAAGATAATGGGATATTGATTTGGATCAGTTCCACCCCCTATGTTCCCCTCCATCTCGAAGTGCAATTGAAGCATTCTCTGGTACTGCGCGTAACTAGTTTGAAGAGTGTATTTCGGTTGACATTTGAGAAGTAATTCCTAAAATCTAATTCAAGTACATCATGATGGTAACTCACAAGGACTATCTAGGTATCACAAAATAAAAGAATACCTCCGAGACCAAACTTGAAGGCCCCTGCAGGTTATTTCCAATATTCTAGGGCTTCCAACCGACGTAATAAGTTCAAGAGCTATCTTTTCTAGGTTTATTTATATACATATCAGTTGAATCTATACCGTAGTTTATTTTGACACTTCACCGAAATGTGGCACTTTTGGTGTACTGACGACAAAGTGCGAACTAGAACTATACCCGCTAGGTGAATCCCACATTTCGCTTTTTTCTATTTTTTTTTTGTTTGAAGTCCATTGCCTGGGGCTATGAGACGGACATTTCACTCTAGTCTGTTTATTTCTTGTCAATCTCGAATTGCTTGCACTCTAAATGTCCCCTTTAAAGCAACCGGAGTCACTAGATTTTTATCTCTAGATTCACTATGGTGTAGTCTCGATCAGACCCCTCTTACTATGGTGCACTGTTGTCATACCCGCTTTGGGTAAGTTCCGAGAATAAAATATGCGCGCGGAGTTAGCCTATATATATGGAACATATTAAACTAAATCAATTAACGCCCGCTTGGCTCAGTGGTAAAGCGTCGCACTTGTAATGCGAAGATCAAGAGTTCAATTCTCTTAGTGGGCATTTAAAAATTATCTTTTAGATTTTTTCCCCCGGGGGTGGGATTGCTTTGATAATTAGCAGGAGAAACTGAATCAATTTTTGTGATAGTTGGTAACTGGTCACAAAGTAGCTGCTCGTTTGTTTAATTAGCCAATACCGGTAGGCCGGCACTATTGACTGATCTATCCACACAGGCAAGCTAATATGGTGCGTAGAGGTAATGGCGAGGGGTAGTGCAAACAAATTGCGCCTTGCTACATGTCTTCAACGCTCTCTTAATCTCATTGAGCTTCTGTCTCAGATCCCGATTTGGATGATACTTTTTGGCTTCCTAATAATCTCTCATATCGCCTTTTATTTTCTTGCAATCTTCTCATGCCTCCCTGCGCTATGCACGATGTCTGGCTATAATTTCATGTGAAATGTATTTAAATATTCATATTATTCTATTGGTCTGATTGGTGAATGAGCTGGTCAATTAGCTCGTCTGGGTCAATAACGCGTGAGTGGGTCGGAACCCTTTACAGTTATATCAAGCGCATAAACATATCCAGACTATAATCTTCTTACAGGAACCAAATCTAGCCCAAGACTCTTTATTCCATACACGATATTCATCCGCCGCCACCCAACCCCCACCCGGGTTCCTGGGTGGCTCATGATGGACCCTTCATTGGGATAATGAGTATTTTTTTTTTCTAAGAAAAAGCTAGGTATAAGATTAATAAAGTGAACGGGGAGAGAAGCGGGCGGGGGGAGTATCCATTGATGGGGGAGCGCGCATGATAGAGGGAGTTCGAGATTTTGATTTGTAAGAAAATAATGTCCAGCATAACTGCGAATTATTTACATCGCTGTCCACAATAAATCAAGTATGTAAACTATTCAATAATTCATCGTTGTGTCGTTTGTGATTTCGTGCCCAGACAGTTGGTTGTCTTCGAGTGGTCGTTTGAAAGTTGGTCTACATATAAAACAATCTTTGGCTGGGAAACTGATAGAAACGCGTTCAGGGTAATTATGACTCTGAACCATCTTTCTACTCGGCGATTTCCCATTCATGTGACGTACCCGACGTCGGTACGCTGTGGATGAACAGCTTTAATGCATCCACTGCACCAGCCTTGATGTATACAGCAAGACGAGAAGTGGGGAATTATGCATGCAGAAATGAATTGTAAACTTTGGGGAAAGTTTTACGTACTCCACGTTGCCGAATGCAGGGGCACAAACTAAAACTTAGAGCTGTGACGCCTTGGCATTTTCATAGTTATTCATGCAACCACATTGGTGTTCATGTAACGCGCCACCACAATCCCACCGGCGACCGAAATTAGACCCTCAACAACGAACATTGACGCATTTACTAGGAGAGGGGTTTCACTCAACCACCAACTTCACCACCATCGAAACTACTTGCTAGGGATCGGAATTCTTAACAAGGGAAACCACCTCCGGGACAATGGGAAAGCGTAAGAGTAGTCTTGCCCGGTCGACGTCTAAGTTGAAGAAGAAGGAGAAGAAAAGGGAGAAGGAAAAGATGAAGCAGAAGTTGAAGCAGAAGAGCAAGGAGAAGGGCGAAATGGTGGATGGGCCGGATAGGACCTATAGTACTGGCTGCGAGACTATTGATGTTATAGCAACTACAGCAGTTGAATCTTCCTCATCGACAGTGGTTGTCGATTCGAAAGGAAAAGAGGCTGCTGCCAAAGCGAAGCCGAAAGCGGTGAGTCAGAGAAATTACATCATATGCGAGATCAGATCTATCATCCTGACTACTAGGAAGCCCGCTTTCGCTGGGCCCACAGAATCTTCAATGATATGGTCCTCCCAAGCACAGACAGCGACAATAGCTACCAACTCACCAGGGAGAGGTCCTGCTACGGAAGTGAAGCCGAGAGTGGTGAGTAAGGTCAGTTTGATAACTTGTCAAGGTGTCCTACTAACAATCACTCAGCCAGCCGTCGCTGGGCCAGCAATACCTCGAGTGATTCCCCACAAAAACTCAAGCAAATTAGGAAATATCGGTGAAGAAGACCTGCAACTTCGCCTGACGCAATCCTTCGACGAAGCCAAACTCCGTTCCAACTCTGTCCCCTTTATCACCGTCACCACATGCAACGAGAACGATACTCTAGATACCCGAGCTAGTTCCCCTACTGCCTCGATCCACTCGATGGAATTCTCACTGAAAACGCGGAAGCAATCTTACGCACGTCGGTCCATGTTTCACAGGTTCTCAAGTGTCTCTGACGGGGTATGGAGTGTTCTTGAAACTACAGCGAACGCTGCCCGGAATACACTAAAAGTACCCCCAATGTGGGAATGGAAAGGGACATCTCCTCGTAAGGAAAGGTTGAGGAAGTGTGCAGAGAACAAACCCGTATTACATATGGAGGATGATGATGATGATGATGATGACAACTTTCCTTATGCTGGTGATTGGAAAACGGGTGCTAGGTATAGGTATTATCATAGGACAGAACTGGAAGGGTCCGGGTTTGTAGCTGTGGGGAGGCGCGAGGACCAGGTGAAGGTGAATACGGGAACTGGGAATTTCCCTCTGGGTCTTGCCAAGACTGCTCCGAGGAGGAAGACCGCGACTAATCCAAGTGACAAAGCTGGTGCCGACGGAAATATTGTTCCACCAACCAACGTGGGACCTGCATCAGATCTGCTCGAGTCTATCCCGAAGCCAGCCTCAATTGAAGACGAAGGAGGCTCACAAGACGAGCTGGAGCATCTGTTGGAGTCATATGGTGGCTTTTGATCATGTGAATTTGATGTTTGTAGAATGTGTACCATTAGGGAATTTCTTTTGTTCCACGGGATTGGAGAAAGATAGCTTTGTTAATTCGGATTTAGGAGAATACACGACACAAGTATAGGATTGAAGGTGTTTGGTGGTTGTTTGGTTTAATTCGAGGGAGAATTCTATATGCATTACTATATTGACTTTACGAATGCATTGAGACTGACTTTTGATTACATATCATAAGCTAGTCTCGAACCCGACCGCTCCTAGGGAGGATCATAAGCCTATCGTAAGCCGGAGACTCGGAATGGGGATCTTGTTCAGGTCCGTCCGACTCCGTCACCAACAGCTATAGGCACTCAATTCTAGAAACTGGCAAGAATCAGTTAATTTTCGTTCTGTATTATGTGACTGCAAGTAGGTATCTCATTTAGCTAAATATAGTTGTGCTAAGTAAATGACTTTCTCTAGCCTTGATTCCCTGTAATTCCTACTTCTGTGATCGCTTCTGGGATATCCGAGTGACAAGAATAAGTAGAGGATTTCCTCCGACTGTGAAGTCTGACATCACGTCCTACACTACGAGTTATGCAATTTCATCCCCTTACTGGGACCGCATATGAGTAACGACTCTAACGAGTATTTAAAAAAAAATAAAAGTTATACAAGATTTCCTTGCCTTGTTACGAGGATAATCAGCATTCGTGTATCTATTGATTCATATTTCTTTCTGCCGTAATACCTCATTGGTGAAGGTCTTAACGCTCAGCCTGAGGAAGGAACGAGATATCGTAAATACTTTGTGTAACTCTCCATTGTTCTACCGGTATGTGTGTCATGAATCACACATGCATGCATGACATTGTCTGCCGAGCTGGTATGCACCTCAGACATACCCGCCGTGAGTCTGCCAGCTGAAAACATAGATATCTGTCATTGGGAAAAAAAATGTCATGTATCTCTCTACCTTCTAAGGCCACCAATAGGGCGTGGATATTTCCTGATTGCCTGATAAACATCCATATTCATGACGGAAATATCAATATGACATGCAGAAGTAGGTAGCGCTGCAGGAGTGAGTAGCTGCATTCTTTCTTGGAGTGATGGTTTTTATGTCTGTAGAGCTGCGGTTTGGTATGAGACGAATAGCCTTCTAAAGTTTACCTCCTCCCTCCCCCCCCCCAACCCCGCTTCGGCACTATCTGTATTGTTCGATTGTTCATTACTAGCATACCGCGAGTGTCAACAGCCCCTTACCACTACACTCATAAGCATCAGATCCCCCGAATGCGAAATTTGATATCTAGGGAAGTGTCAGACTGTATCGCAACAGGACACTGTGGCTAAGATACTTGAGTTTAAGGCTATTTCTTGGTTTGTGAACTCTCCTCCCCCCCCCACCTCCCTTCACACAATCACCACATCCTCATATCCCACACAGCTCAGCACAGGCGAAAACCTGTTCCAGCATCATACCAACACTCCCCATTCTTTCAATTTTACTAGTCTCAATTTTACCTGCCCTCCAGACCTCGGCCCTACAATCTCCTGTCACCGGATCCCTCCCAAACAACACAGCCACTCTCTTCAGGCCCATCCAAGCTAACCAGACTACATCCAAGCCACTTCATACAGACCAACTTTCCTACAGTCGGTACACCTTAGCCTGTCTTCAGCTGGGCGTACAATCTTCGGACGTTCCCACTACCTACGCAAACCTCGGCTCAAGTTCCTTCATTAAGCACACTGCATCAAGATATCCGTTCGCCCCTTGACCAACAATTTATTCAACGTTCAGCAGCATAGCACAAAGAACGTCCCATGCCTGCGCCAAGGTTCATCTACACTGGGACGCAGGAGAAGGCCCTCGAGCGATTGGTCGCTTTGGGGTTTTGTCGTCCAAACAGCATAGCTTCCCAGGCTCAAATCGATCTAGTCTGGCTGCATATACCCGTCGAGCAAAGCGGTGGCTTGGGTCTAGGCCTACACTATAAAGCGATAGCCGCCTATGTTATTAAAAAAGCTCACACCATTATAGACAAGGATGCTGGAATGACTAGATGGCATCAGTGGGTGGCCGATCACAATCACGATGTCCCTGTTCCTTACGTCAAACAAGAACTTACTGCCGGCCGTAGGAGGTTTTCAAAAGAGGATCGGAAAATTCTTCAAAACTTGATTAGTTTGGGAATCTGTGGTGTCACCCAACGACAGAAGATCCAAGTGAAGCATGTTTGGTTTGAAATCCCTGTGGAACAGCTTGGTG